AAATCTTTCTTCTCTTCAGGTAGGACATACCATGTATTTTTATTTTCCGATATGCCCGCTAATTCAAATTCGTCATTATTTCTTTTAATAATATGAAAATACAACTTAGTTGTTTTTGAAGCCATCTTTTTTTTTCAATTTAATTTTTAAGTTTGCTTTCGGATAACCTGATTTATTAATCTAAGTAGAAAAATTAAATTCCAGGATCGTTTACAAAGCCAACAATAATAAAATATAACCTCGTGCTATTTGTATTTATAAATAAGATGATACCAAAGTAATGAAACTTAATTTACAAGCACAGAATAGAAATTCAAAGAATACCTAAACTTAGATAATTATATGAAATATAATTTACATATATAAATATATATATTTTTGTTTACAAGATGATGTCGTTATCTTGATTGTTGGTATTAAGAAGGTTATTGTTGTGTATATGTATACATATATTAGGGATGCACCGAAGTTCGGCCCCAGCTCCGGCCAAAATCCGGCTTTTTTTTCAAATCCGGCCGGATTTGGTGGCCGGATTTAGGGCCGGATTTATGCGTTTATTAACATTTAAAAATGTTATAAATAGAAAATATTTTATTGAATTCAATTAATTTTATGTCAATAAGTTAAAGGCTAAGCTTATATGACACAACATCACTAATTGTGAGGTGAGCTGGACTATTTTCTTTATGCTATAACATGGGTTATGAATAAATTATGAGCTGATCTTTGTGTAAAAGAACTTGTGCACGTGTATATACTATATAATTGTATATAATGGACCATATAGCTACATAATATATATATATATATATATATATATATATAGATACATAAGCGCATAATTTAAGAACATGGTATGTTAAAGGTTAGGCTAGACATACATGACACATAATTACAACATCACTAATTGTGAGGTGAGCTAAACAATTTTCTTTGTGCTATAACGGGTTTTGCATAAATTATAAGCTGTGCACGACTGCACGTGCATACATGACACATAATAACAACATCACTAATTGTGAGGTGAGCTGGACAATTTTCTTTATGCTATAACACGGGTTATGCATAAATTATAAGTTGATCTTTGTGTACAGAATTTGGCATATCACACATTATTTATATATTTGAATTAATTAACTATTTGCTTGGTGTTATTTTTTGATGTTCAACATGTAGATAACCGTAAATGTGAATATTTTTTTAACGTGTGTAAAATGGCAACTAAAATCCGGCCCCGGCCGGTTTTTGAATTTTAAATCCGGGAAAACTTAAATCTGGTACATCCCTAGTATATATATATATATATATATATATATATATATATAATTTTGTAAACGTTATAGAATAATCGTTAGAACCTGTATTGTTTTATCAGACTATTAGATATAGTGACCTATTTTACTGTTAAATATGTCGAGAGATAAATGCAACAAATGTAAAGTTAAAATTAAAGAAAGTAACAAAGAATTAATTTGTTGTGGCATATGTGGTGACGGCTACCACATCAAATGTATTCCGACCGATGCTCAAGTTTTGTCAGCAGTAGTATCCGATCCAAATTTATTTTGGCTCTGCAATAGCTGCGTTGAAGACATTAAAGCATGTTTCAAAAAGATTTGTGACCTGCAAAAATCCCAAAATGAAATAGTCTGTAACTAAAATAAGCTTACTGATGAACAAAGTTCATTTCGTCGCGTGTCGGCTTCAATTGACGCAAAGTTTAGCAAAATGGCCAACAAAATTGTTGAATTTGATAAATCGGTAACAAATGTAAACACGCAGATTAAAGATGTTGAATAAGGTTTGAAAAAGAATTGGACTGAAGTTGTAAAGGAAACCATCAAAGAAGTTAAATGGACTACGGTGGCTCTGAACAATGTCGTCAAATCTATTAAAAACGATGTCGAAACAATTGTTAAACCGCACATCCCTAATCTAAGCATGTGACGACTTACTATATATTGCTTCAACACAAAGACAACAGCCCTTTTTCTTGCGACGTTTTACGAACGAACCTTTTTTTATCTAATCGCATTGCCGAACACGTTTATTTTGTATTAAGCAAATAAATACGTTATAAACATTTTTACATGTTGTTTCTTAAATCGAGAGAATCTCACAACACAATCAACCATGAGTGCAATGTTGTGTTATTTAGGCTCAGTGAAGCTGAAACTAACTGCTGTTGCTTGAAATGATGATAAGAAGATTGTTACGAATTTGCTTTCAGTCATTACAAATGATGAAATCAAGGAAAGCGATATTAAGAAAATGTACAGAATTGGCAAAGTCCGATGTTGATTGAGTTTAAAGAAAAGTCTATGAAAAACATTATAATGAAAATCGTGTGAGGATGAAACAATTGAGTGATGAATTAAAAAATGTAAGCATAAGCCATGATTTCACTAAAGAACAGCGTGAGAAATGTAAAAAACTGGGAGCTGAAGCAAAAGATAAGCAGAAACAGGAGTCGGGGGAATTTTTGTATAGGGTGAGGGGAGATCTATCAAATTTGAGAATAAAAATACAAAAAAATTCAACAAAAAACTAAAGCATAATAAACCTGATTGTGCGTCTATGGTAATGTCAATAAAATAAGGGTGGGTCTGTTAAACATTAGATCTTTGGGTCCAAATGTCGATGATGTTCATGGGATGCTCAATGATGGCTTGGATGTTTTGATGCTTACAGAAACTTGGCATAAATCATCTGATAATATTTGTCTCAGTTTGACAAAGCCACGTGATTTTAATAATTTAGAACGAGTTAGGTTAAATGATTCTGCGCATGGTGGTTTGGTAACGTATTTTAGAAAACACTTTAAATGTGTAAAAATTCAATTGCCAATGATAAATTACATTTGAAGCAATATGCTTTGAATTGTTATTACAGAAGACTTCAGTAATTTTTCTGGTGATTTATTGGCCAGGTTCTGCTCTTCCTGCTAAATTATTTTTTAAAGAATTAATTTTAGTTTTAGAACAATTCACATTTTTATGTTGCAGTATTGTAGTTGCAGGTGACTTCAACATACACGTAAAAACTTCGTCAGATATATATGCAACAGCCCCTGCTGATGTTTTCTCTAGTTTTGATCTAGTCAATAGAATAAATCAGTCTACCCATGTGCTGGGTGGTACCCTGGATTTGATTGTTACATCAGATGGTTTTTGTTAGAAGATGTATTGGTGTATCTATATGGTATTTATTCAGGTCATGGTTTAGTAACTGGTCAATTTTTAATCAATCCGACTCCAGTCATTTTTAAGAAATTGTGGATCAGACCCTAAAAACGAGTGGATAAAAAACGTCTGACTGAGATTTTTAGGTGCTCTGCTATCTCAAAACATTATGGTCAGGATGATGATGTTGAATTGGATTTTAAAATATTCAATGAACAGCTTTTAAAAATTGCTGACGATGTTGCTCCATTTTATGAAGTTTGATGGAAACATGTCCCGACTGCACCCCATGGACTGTGACTGCAAAAAGAAAGAAGGTTCAGAACTGGTGGTTGTTATAATGATAAAGTTGATTGGGTATGGCAATGAAACAAAAGAATGTTTGTTACTCAGTGAAACGAAGGAGTTTTTGGTTCGCGAAAACATGTCAATTCAAAAATAATTCCAAATAATTATGGCAAACGATTAATAAATTATTAGGAAAAGAGACAAGTGTTAAAAATGAAGTTGGTTCAATGCATAGCGCCGATGATATAAAAAATTTTTGCTGACAAGTTGAAAGTGACCGAAAAGTCAACTGATTTAATTTTCCAGTTATTTTTACTTATACTAATATTATGTTTCCACTCGAATCGTTTCCCGTGTTGACTGAAGAACAGATATGTAAAGTTGTTAATTCGTCACCTACAAAGTCATGCTCACTCCGACCGACGCATGTATTCAAAGAATATACTGACTGTTTTATTGTCTACTTAACGGACATAATCAACATGTGCTTAACGAAGGGTGTAATGCCAGAGGTTTGCAAGCATGCAATTGTCACGCCAATTCTAAAAAAGACAGGATTAGATAAATCAGATCTGATAAACTATAGGCCGGTGTCAAATTTGTCTATCGTTTCTAAATTTATAGAACGTTCTGTTGCGTAAGTTTTGATCAATCATATAAATAAAAATGGCATTTGGCCTTTGCACCAATCTAGATATAGAAAGTTTCATTTGACAGAAACAGCTCTATCGGATATATTCTCTCATGTTTATTCAGCAGTTAATGTACAAAAAGTAACTTTGTTGACATTCCTGGACATGAGTTCGGCGTTCGATACTGTAAATCATAAAATCCTGTTAGGCAGACTGAAATATTGTTATGGTTTAAATAAGATAGCGTTAACGTGGTTCGAATCATTTCTCTTACTCCGGTGGTCTCTCGGAACCAATGAAACTTACGTAGGGGTACCTCAAGGATCTGTTCTTGGACCGATTCTCTTTAATTTGCACGTTGCAGAGATAATGTCTGCAGATTCAAACACGCTGTATGTTAAAGATCGGAATCTGAAAACAGCAGATAGAGATTTTGCAGTTGCTGGGCCTATTTTTTGGAACAGCCTACATATCGAATTACGTATATCTGGGTTATCATTAGTTAGGTTTAGAAAACGTCTAAAGACATACCTATTTAGTAACTCCTAGTGATCTCCACCGATGATGGCTTCGCTTTTAACATGCTTTATACGAGGAGAGCGCTGATGAGAAGCAATTATAATTGGCGCTATATAAATACAAAATTTGATTTGATTTGATATATATATATTTATATACGGTCACGTGATAAAACATGGAGGTTAAAGTTAGCGAATTTCTCTGTTTTTAACAAATAATTCGAGTAATTTTGCATAATATTTCGGAATTTTATCATCTTGAAGAAGTTAATTCTGCTGTCGAAATACTGAAAAATATGGTGTTGATAAATTTCTATTCAAAGCTAACGTTAAAAAAGATAAAATAATTGAATGTATTGCAATTTTGAAATTTCTGAAATCAAATGGCTTGTTGGAAAATTGCTCTTTATTTGTTTCTGCGAATTTATCAAGAATTCCGAGCGTTACAAATTGGTTAAGCTGCAACTTTGATTCACTAAAAAAGGACATTGAAGCCATGTTGAATTCACAACACTCAGTTGTTATGGAAGCATTAAATAACAATAGTTATAGAATGCTTTCGGCTATAAACTCCTTTGTATCGGACCGTGCACAGGACCAGATAAATTTAAATTCTGCTAAATCAAGCAAAGTAGCTGCCGACTCCATAGCTGTGCCTCGTACGATACACACGGAAATAATAAACAAAGCTAATGAAAGTATGAAAAACGTTTATGTCAATTTAGCAAACATAATTCCAAAAAGTGTACCGTGGGCTGACAGAGTTAAACCCGGGAACCAATCTCCGGACGATAGTGATTCAACGGATGGCTTCCAACTTGTCAAATCAAAAAAATATATATAATCAATTAATTAGCAGTTAACCAATGTTAATTTGAAGACTAGCAATGATAAAGGTCACAAAAGGCAAACTGCATTTTTGGAACAGGCATTAACTGTAATCTAAAATCATCTAAAATTATTGAAAAAAATCTACCTACTACGTTGTAAACGTGGGTCCGTGTAGTAAGGAAATTATTGAAAATCATTTAAAGACAAATGGTATAAATTTCAATCATTGTTTCCCGATCTTCCGTAAAAGAGCATCTGATGATGCATCAACAGCAGAAAAATCAACAAAAGAATCCACAGCATTTAAAATCATTCTTTTTTTATAGGAGCGACCTAAGTTAATTAATCCCAGGGTTTCGTGTAACATTGTAACTGGGTGACAAAAATGCTACCCAGCGTTGATTTTTTGCCACCTAGTAATGTTGATTTCGTGCCACTGGGTGACAGCAAGTTTTGTATTACAATTTAATTACGAGAAAATTGATTTTCAAAATTATAAAAGCTGGCCTCATACATTTATATATAAGCATAGAAATCTGATGTATCAACCAACGTCAATTAATTCGTTGTATGTTTTTTCAATCCTTATATATATAATATCTTTGGTTGCTTTCCTTGACGAGACGACAGAGTACTATTTAAAAATTAATAAAATTTTCTGATTAAAATAATTACAACAACAATGGTTCAGTTTTGAAGAATAGAGAAGTTTTTTTTCTTTTGTTAAATAAATATTTTGTTATATAAATTATATTTTGATAGCATTTTTTTACAAATTTGAAAGTATTTCTCATAATTTCGCCGGGTAACGTCACTAATGATTAATCACACGTACGCGTAACGTAAACGAAACCGAACGTAAAAAACGGTTCAAAATTCAAAGGCACATAAATTTATAATTTGAAATGTATATAGATAATACGGTTAAATGTTTAGTTATAAGGTAGTAGTGGTATAGAATTTGTTTTTTTTTTGATTTAAGTGATTTAACAATTTTGAAATTGTTTTATTGAATCTTTGATTCAATATTTAAAAAAATTGCAAGGCAAATTGATGGCTAGTTTATGCTATTATTATATTATGTTTTTATTAGACTTTGGTTTTTAAAATACTTTATTTTTAAGCTTAAGCTAGATTGATTTGATTCAATTTCAAAGCATATTTAATTTAAAAGCGCAGGTTAATATCTTGGAATTACAGATAATTTATTATATATTATTGTGGTATATATTTATTTGTTTTTGTAGGTAGTATAGATTTGGAATTTTTGGGTTTTGTATTAAGTTTCACATAATTGAATTTGTTTAAATCCAGGATTGAATGTATTCAATTCAGGGCCTCGTTTAACATTGTAACTGGGTGACAAAAATGCTACCCAGCGTTGATTTTTTGTCACCTAGTAATGTTGATTTCGTGCCACTGGGTGACAGCAATTTTGTATTACAATTTAATTACGAGAAAATTGATTTTCAAAATTATAAAAGCTGGCCTCATACATTTATATATAAGCATAGAAATCTGATTTATCAACCAACGTCAATTAATTCGTTGTATGTTTTTTCAATCCTTATATATATAACATCTTTGGTTGCGTTCCTTGACGAGAAGACGGAGTACTATTTAAAAATTAATAAAATTTTCTGATTAAAATAATTACAACAACAATGGTTCAAATTTGAAGAATAGAGAAGTCATTTTTCTTTTGTTAAATAAATATTTTGTTAAATAAATTATATTTTGATAGCATTTTTTTTACAAATTTGAAAGTATTTCTCATATTGAATTATATATAAGAATGGCTTTATAGTGTTGACCTTCTTCTCAAGGTCAGAAAACTTGGAAGCAAACTTTTTTAGCACCAAATTGTCATTGGGTTTTTCAGTTTTCCAATCTATATTTAGCTTCTTCCCTGTTAAACTTTGTGCTACCGGCGGCAAATTCTTGTAAACATTTTTTACTGCTGAAATCATTCTATAATCTATGGCAGTTTTAATCGATTTTTAAATTAATAATTTAACTGAATTTTGATCCATTTTGATTTTATAAATGTCATTTTCTTAAAAGTTTTACAAATGTTACATTGTGCCAGGAGACACTAGACTCATACTAGTAGAAGAAGAAAGGCTTTTTTGTATTTTTATTTTGAATTTTTGACTTTTTATTTTTTAAACTGTCTAATAAATTAATGTTAAAAAAAACCCAAAAATTTCAATGTCGGTATGTTCGTTCGTGTACTTTAAAAAATCGACGTTTGTACTGGCATCGAAATTTTCTTGTTTTATCAACAACAAATAATTGGTTAATTAATTAGAACTAGATAACAAGCCACATAAATCTTTTTTTATTTTATTATTATTAGTTAAAACAGTAATGTGGAATACCATATTGATGTTACTTTAAATTTTAATAGAATTAATATATTTTTTCAATTATAATAAATATTGGTATTGAATCAAATAATTGTATAAATTTTTTTGGATATGCTGCCTGAAAATTTCTGATCTTTGGAATGAATTGAGCAGACGATAAGCAGTAAGTTAGTTTTTGAATATAATTCCTATCTTTTATTAAATTAAAAATGCCATTAAAGTGTATAGTAAATAATTGTAATAGGACATATAAAGACCAAAATATATTAATGCACAGGTAATAATATGATCTTAATAATATTTTTATATCATTTGCATATTTTATGATTCACTTGACCTCTCACCATGGATTAATAGATATAAATTTCAATAATTCATTTTTGACAAAATGCAATATGCATTACAGCATTCCTCAAAAATCACCTATAAAAAGTCAGTGGATCAATGCATTGAATGGCAGGTGTAGAGGTTTTGAAAGAAAAAGATCATATATATGTAGTAAACATTTTGATTCAAAATCCTTTTCAAAGTCAAATAAAAAAGTCACTCTGAAGAAAGATGCCTATCCAACAATATTTCCTGGTGTGGTATTTGAAAAGGCAAAATCCAAGACAACACAAACTGAGGTAATTAATTTAGTATTTATATATAATAAACTTTTAGAATACTTTATTTTTAAGCTTAAGCTGGATTGATTTGATACAATTTCAAGGCATATTTAATTCAAAAGCGCAGGTTAATATTTTGGAATTACAGATAATTTATTATATATTATTGTGGTATATATTTATTTGTTTTTGTAGGTAGTATAAATTTAGAATTTTGGGGTTTTGTATTAAGTTTCACATAAT